AATTTAAAAATAATAAAAAATTAATTAAAATTAATTTATTTTTTAAATCTCGAAGAAAAACACAATGAAAGTCAATGTCAAGGTTGATTATTCACTAAAAATATAGTAAAATAATATTTGTTTTATTTTATAAAGTTTATTTTTTATATTAACAACAATTTAAAAGTTAAAAAAATAATTAATTTTAGAAAAAATCAAGTAATTGAAAAATACAGCTGGAAAGACAAACAATACCTTATTCTCTCTTCCTCATCTCCTACCTTTTCATTCGAGCGTGGAAATTGAATGCGGCCCGAATGGTGGGACCCACAACCTTCAACTTTCTTCCCAACGAAGTAGTCGGTGTTACTTTTCTATCAAATGTCTAGACAACTTCGCAACTTCTCCTAGGAGGTCATTACAGAAAGAATCTCTCCATCTACCCAAATATATATACCCACAACCCCGCTCCCTTTTTCATCAAACCCAATCCCTCACCCACCTCTCTCGTCTATGTCAAAGAAGAAAAACTGCCCCTCCCTCTCTTCTCTGGTGAAGAAGAAAAACTGCCCCTCATCGGTTGATGATCCTGCCGATCCTTTCTCTGTCAACAAGAACAGTAAACACCTCTCATCTCTTTCAATCTCAAACCTCCTGAACTCGTCTCAAATCAGGTAGCGAAAGAAGAACAATGGAGGCCTCGAGCCTTTCTTCCCTGTTTTAGGAAGAGGAATGAATTACAACATCCCATCTGGTGAGTCAAATTTTAATTGTACTGCAACATTTGAATTTTCATTTTTACGCCCTCGATCCCCTTCTCTAACTGTCATTTTGTTTTCTTAGTTATGGCAAATTCAGTCATGGGGTGTTGTGGACACTGGAAGTTGGATACAACTTCCATCCAACCAATGAAGAATTAAATAATTATTTATAATTATTTAATTCTTCATTAATAAGAAAAGATGGAATCCATCCGACCAATGAAGAATTAAACAATTAATTGTAATCTTGTAATAATTGAAGGCTTAGTTATTGTTGTAGAATAAATATTGATGCTGTAATCTACCAGTTGACCTATCTTGCTTTATATATACTACATTACACTGTTAAGTAACTTATAATTTTAGTGGATTCTGTCACCGTAACATTTGCTTAATTTTTCTTTTCAAAAATTGTTCCCATCCTTGAGTTTATTAGAATGACACTTGAATTAGGTATTTTTGATAGTTTTATTGCTTGGCAAAAAGAAGAGCAAATCTCACTGTCATCACACTAAAGTTTCATGCTGGCAAGTGCCCCAAAAAAAAAAAGAATTGGGGTGAATCCAAAAAAATCTGAAGCAAAATAATTTTAGTTTATTGCTTTGCAGAAAGAAAAGCAAATTCCATTGCCATCACGCAAAAGTTTCAAGCCGGCAAGTGCAAAAAATAATAATAATGTTAATTGATAATTAAGAGTATTATACTCGCATGCAAATTCCAGGTAGCGAGCAGTGGGCTGATGGCCCCGGCTTACGGGCTCTTGAGCCCACTTGTTTTCACAGTTTCGAGCCTGTTTAGACCAGTACAGCGTAGGTTGGATCTTTGCACACCCCCTCCCTCTCTTTCATGGGTTGATAGTCACAATGAAGCCCGTTTTATATGGGCTTCCCACCATGAACATGGAAAATACATAGCGGCCCAGTTCATATAGCGGACAGTGGCATTATGAGCTATTCTCGACCTCATTATTTTATCCACAAACCTTTACTTTATTTGAGAGTGAAATCGATACTTGGCCAGTAATTAATAAATTCACAATTTTGATAACAATTTTTGTCTAAAATTAATTATATTCTTCAAATTTTTTAAAAATCTCAAAAAATTCATTTCTTCCATGTTTAAAAACGCATTCCATTCAGATTATATTATTTTTTTTTATATGAAAACACTATCATTTGTAGAGAATTTAATATTTTGACTCTGGTTGAGAACTTAAAATTATTTATTATATTAGCAATCAGTGTTGAAAGATAGATACCACAGAGTATTCTTTCGTGTGACTTTTAAACATAAGTTCTTAAAGAACTGTTAGAAAATGGAAGACTTTTAAGTTCCAAAAGACAAGAAAGTCAACATCTAAATTTGCTGGCAAGTGACCATGGCATCGACCATGGAGAATAACAGCAATAGTCCCGTTTAGTGCAAATTCATGTAACAGTGGATGTGGAGAATCCCGAATTGTTGAAGAATAAATATCAAGGAAAAACAAATTAAAAAATGAAGTAGCATGAAATAAAAAAAAATAATCCAATTTTATAACTATTCCAAGTAAAAAAACAATAATAAAAAAATAAATCACACACACACACACATTATTAATTGTTAGTTTATTCAAACGTAGTTACATGTAACGGAATCAGCGCTCCATCCACAAGAACAGGCCAGCCAAAACAAGAAGTCATCTTTCACGGTGCAACAAAAATCCGCAACATTAGTTTATATCGTGTGCGCAACCATTCCAGCTGCATCATAAAACTAATATTATATAGACAATAAAACCCGGGTTCTTTTAAAATGTCAATCAGCTATATAGACAATACAACCCGGGTTCTTTTAAAATGTCAATCAGCGCCCAGTAATATGACGCGTGTAACCAAAACATTAACTTAAATATTGAACCACCTGTCCTAATTAGCCATCGTAAGAAAACAATAATTTATTTCCATTTAATCAGATAAGAATCACACTCAGACGTGCTTTTTTTTAAAGAGATTTTTTATTTTGCACTCGATAAATCATTCGCTTTCATTTATTTATTTTTGAAAAAAAAGAAAATAGAAGGAAAACCACCAATCGAAAATGGAAAAGTGTTGAAACCACTAGCGCCAGCTGTCACTTCATAAATGAAGAAGCTCACCCCTAAAACCCCTAAACAAACACCACATAAGCATACTCCTCTGGCCACAGCCTCCGCTCCTTCACGCAACATCTCTTCCTCTTATCTCTGTCGGAACCTGGCGTTATGTCTGTTCTCCACCGCCGCGGCTCCGCCGGCCTTCAAAACTCAAACCGCCACCATCACTACCACGATCATCACCCCCATCTCAACTATTGTTACCATCGGTACCATTTCCTGAAATCCGAGCCCTGCCTCTTCATCTCTTAATCTCATACTGCAAAACTAATAATAACAAGATTCACTTTCAATAAACAAGAAAGGAAAATAAGCTTAAAAATGGTTGCTATGAAGAGCTATAGCGTGTGCTTGAGGGAGTCTGCTCTCCAGCTTCCACGCCATAATTGCGTTGATAATTCCAAGAGGTTTATCTGATCCCCTTATTAATTCTCTTATTAATTTCTTTATCTGTGTAATTTTTTAATTTATTTTTTGCATTGTACATCGCCGTGTATATTATTATTATTTAACAGGAGGAGTGGAAAATGGAGGCCTCCCCGAGCTGCTGTAAAACCTAATTTGCATCTTCCGATGCGCAGTTTTGAAGTTAAAAACATGTAAGAAATTGACTTCATGTATGTCCAATTGTGAGTTTGATGAATCAATTGTTTTTTTTCTTTGTTGTTGTTATAATCCTTGAATTTAACATACACAAACTTACAGCCTATGACCTGGATAGGTTATGATCAACGTAGACAAATCAGGGGCAAGGCATGTAACTGTAACTATGTGAACGGATTATTTATTTAAAGGCTTCATGAGAATATACGTGTTCCCTTTCAGGAATTGATGCCATAAATGATCATGTGCTCTCTGCTATTGCAGGACATCAGTAGAGGATATGAAATCTCTTAGATTGATAACAGCTATCAAAACCCCATATCTGCCTGATGGTAGATTCGATCTTGAAGCGTATGATGCGTTGGTGAACATGCAGATTGCTAACGGCGCTGAAGGTGTTGTAGTTGGCGGCACAACTGGTGAAGGTCAGCTGATGAGCTGGGATGAACACATAATGCTTATTGGCCACACCGTCAACTGTTTTGGTAGCTCAATCAAGGTGATCGGAAACACTGGAAGTAACTCTACAAGGGAAGCGATTCATGCCACAGAGCAGGGTTTTGCGGTCGGAATGCATGCTGCTCTTCATATCAATCCATACTATGGAAAAACCTCCGTGGAGGGCATGGTTTCTCATTTTGACAGCGTGCTCCCTATGGGCCCAACTATTATATACAATGTGCCTGGCAGGACTGGCCAAGATATACCCCCACGCGTTATTCATACTATAGCTCAGAGTCCGAACTTGGCAGGCGTTAAGGAATGTGCTGGTAATGACCGTGTTGAACAGTATACAGATAAAGGAATTGTGGTGTGGAGTGGGAATGATGATCAGTGCCATGATGCAAGGTGGAACCATGGGGCTACTGGAGTGGTTTCTGTTACTAGCAACTTGGTTCCTGGTTTAATGCGCAGACTTATGTTTGAGGGGAAGACTACTGAACTAAATTCAAAACTCCTGCCCCTTATCGACTGGCTATTTCAGGAGCCGAACCCCATTGCATTAAACACAGCTCTTGCTCAACTTGGGGTTGTTAGACCGGTTTTCAGACTGCCATATGTGCCTCTTCCTTCGGCTCAGAGGGTAGAGTTTGTGAATTTGGTTAAGAAAATTGGCCGAGAGAATTTTGTAGGAGAAGAAGACGTTCGGGTTCTTGAGGACGATGACTTCATCTTGATAGCTCGTCTGTGTTAGTTTCTCTTGTTGAGATTTCTATTGTGGGTTCGCCCATTTCTGGTAACAATTAAAATAAATATTTGTAAGATTACAACGAACATTTGTAAGAAAAAGTCTGGAAAAAAGAAGCCACGATTCCCCCTTTTCTAGTCATGATTGTTTTAACAAAACATGTCTTTTTTCTCATCTATATATTTTTTTTAAAATAAAAAGTAAAGGTGGTTAGAATAAATATTTATAAAAAAGTTTATGGATTTAGATCATAAATAACAAAATATATCTCTTTCATGAAAGCTTCCTTTTTTATTTATATTATGATTTTGTCTTGACAAAAATATTTATTTATATGAAAGGCATTGTTTTTAAATAAAAATATATCATAATTTAAAAAGCAAATTTTAATAACAAAAGAAAAATCATATAATTTTTTAGTGAATATATAAAAAAATAAGAGAATTATTAACTTGAAAAACAAATATAAAAAATAGAAACTAAAAATAATAAAATAAATATTTAATTTTTATCGAATATTTATGAGCAATTCATTTATAATTATTTATAAAGTAATTATTCATATTGTTTATTGAAATATTTGTTTTCAAATATTTTTTAATAATTTTAATTTTAAAAAATTATTTTAAAATGATAAAAAAAACTAGAGGTTCATTTAAAAAAAAAAACAAGGCATGCCTCGGCTCCAAATAAATAAAAAAAACTTGCGTGCTTGTCTTATATAAAATCACAAACAGGTCAATTTTTTTTTTTTAAATGAGTCATTTAGTGATTGTCAATTGTAATAATTTTTTATTATCTTAAAATCTACATCTAGGTTTTCTAATCCTCAAATCATAATTTTTAATTTATTAACAATTCCACATTCATTGCAATAAAATTCAGTCACATCGTGTTATTAGAAAATTTGGGTTTAAGTTTATGAAGCTCAATTTTTTATATATATATTTATTTTCATCTAAAAACACATGTAAAAAATGCTTTGCAATAAAATTCAATAATTTTATGTAATAAAAAAACCCCACTTTCAAGTATTCGAACTCTCATAAATCTATTTTTGATTTATTTCCACCTAAAAACATATCATAAAAAATATCAACCACAAAACACTTTTTAATTAATATAATAACTCAAAACTAAATAGAACAAAAATCCTTTTCGAATCTCAACATACTTCTTTTTGAAATGGTTATGGCAAAACACACACACACACACACATATATATAAAAGGTTTTCAAGAATGATTAGTTTGCAGGTAGAAGGCGTCACAGAACAATCTCATTGGGTGGTGTAATTAATCTTACCGTTACAAAAACATTCTAATTCAGAATGTTTTAGATATATTATGTGGTTATAATTTAAAAATAAAATATTTTATAAAAATATTTTTAGTTAAGATTAATTTAATATTTATGTATATTTAATTAAAACTATGATTAGAATTAAGGTTAAATAAAAAGTAATTTAATATATTTGATTAAATAT